CAGTAATTCCATGCAGTGAAATACTTATATGTTTGGGTAGAGAAGCTTGCTGTTGGTTGGATGAATAAACTGACCAATAAGACGTCTGCTAGTGAAAGGCTGAAACGAAAGCCATTGTTCATTGAGAAAAAGTGTGGGAACGCCCAAACAAAGGCATAGTTCCAGTTGGTGGGAAAAGGGTGGGAACAACCAAAACAAAGGCATAGTTCCAGTGTGGCGGGAAAAAAGTCGGGGGTGGGGGTGCTGCTTGGCTAGGTATATAATGCCTATATATAATATATGATATATAATATATGTATAATATATGATATATAATATATATATATAGGCTCGCTCATCAACTTATCACTGATCTTTGTATATTTTTCTCGGTTCTAATTGGTTAATACCATTTTTAGATATACTGCCTCTATTATACTGCCCTCATGAGGAGCTCTAGAACACTCGGCTGACTGATTAATAGTTGATTAATTAATATACGTTTTTTTTTAGCTCTACTGCCTCTATTATACTGCCCTAATAGGAGCTTTCGAGATTATGAGAACTTGGTACATTTTAGATTTTCCGACCTTGCTCATGAATTTAACATGTATAAAGATAACAGGCTCTATCGAAATATTCATTTTATTATATTTTAGTAAATATAAGTTTTAACATTATATATATACATTATTTATGTACATTGTATTTATATTAAATACTGTATACCATATTTAATGTACTGTATTAGGCCTAATCATTTTTGTATACAAATGATGAGACCGCATAAGTTATTTATCATCACCCAAAGCAATGATAAAAGTACTAAACTGTTGGAAATAGTATTTAAATATAATGTGTAAAAATTACATTATTACTTCAGAGAAGTCATTATTATTTGTAATTTTAAAATAAATTGTATTGTCTTTTTAGATTTGAGCTTCAGCAAAGAAATCAGAAATTTCTACACTCTCCATTCATTAATCACTGACCTGGGGACTGAACAAATGCGCAAGTATTTTATGATAAACTGTAAGAAAAAAGACAAAGACAAGGTCGGAAAATTCTTGTTATCCCAGAGACAAGACGGTGCCTTAAAGTGTGTGGATTTTGGTGATCAAGAGACACAAATCTTCAAAGCCGATGTTGATATCAACACGTTCGATATTACTATCCTAATGACTTTGATCCAACATTGTTGCAGTTCTAAAGGTGACTCAATTTGGAAAAAGCCACCAGATGATAAAGACAAATCACTACTTGCAAATTTGAGACGCATACAACTCTATAAAGAAACTACACTAGACTGCAGCCCCAGCAACAGAGTCACAAACGTGGAATTTGACAAGCAATGGTATGAACTTACAACAACATTTACATGTATTGGTGTTTCTGCTGAAGACATTGAAAAATATCACAAGCTACGCGTAGAGCGGTCAGTTAGAGGTAAATTATTATACATTGTAGCCTAGTAGATTTCAATGTTTCATATTTGGTTCAGGGATAGTGGACTTTCCTTATTTGTTTAAAACTTTAAAATTTTTCCTCACACATATGAATCCAGATAAAATTATTTTAAGAGTTATTGGAATAATAATAATAATAATAATAATAATAATAATAATAATAATAATAATAATAATAATAATAATAATATTGTAAATGGAATAATAAATATTTCGCAAATCATTTATTTGTTTAAAACTTGTTTGTTTAAAACTTTAAAATTTTTCCTCACACATATGAATCCAGATAAAATTATTTTAAGAGTTATTGGAATAATAATAATAATAATAATAATAATAATAATAATAATAATAATATTGTAAATGGAATAATAAATATTTCGCAAATCAAATGCGCAGATAAACAAGTACAAAAATACACATAGCCCTACATAAAACACAATGTAATTAGCACTTAGATCAACGCAACATTTGCTGCTATATCTGGCCCATTCAGAGATTGTCAACGAATGTTATAAATAGTGTCGACTTCTAGTAAATTTCTCAAAACTGGATGAGTCAGCATTGACAAAGCATATCAACTATTTTACTGATGCTAAACTTCCTGTTGTTTATAGAAACATAATAAGTGCATTATTATAGCGAACAAATACTCTTCTTGTAATTTTACTAATGACACATTACAGAAACCTATACTGTATGACATAAACCATAGAGCTTGAAATAGACATTTAGAAAATAATAGATAAAACAAACACACAGCATCAATTAAAAATCAAAAGAATCCCTCCATAAAAAATGGAAGAATCCTCAACTTAAACAAGTTGAGTATGGTCACAAAGCAAGACCTTACTGTTTGAAAAACTCAGCAAGATGGTGGAAAAAGCAGACGCAGACATAAACTTTCTTAGAAATTACAGAATTTTTGGCGTTTATTTCTAATTTTATTGCAAAAAATACTGTAATAATAACGTACTCTCAATAAATACTTCAGAAAGAATGGTGGCATACGGGGTTTATTCCAGTTTAACTTTTTCTTTGGTAAATATTCACTCTTAAAATAGTGATTTTTAGTCTTAAAAATTAAAAAATTATGAGAATTCACTAAACGTTACTACTTCACGTTTCGTATTTGCATAGTTGAGTAAGCTTTCTAACACTATTTTACTCTCTTTTGTAGACTTACAATTAGAGAAACCCGCTAGTTAGAAAAGCTCCACATGCCTATAATGTTTTTGTTTCTTTTCTTACTGAAATTAGGTTTTGAAGAAGAAAGTGTTGAAGAAATAAGAAATTTTCAAGTTCTTCAAGCAGTTGTTATTGATGTTGGAACTGTAGCAATGAGAGAGTACTTTTTAGAGGTTGCTAATCGAAGGAAGACAAAACAAAGCCAAGTTGCCAAACTGGAAAAAAAAGATGTGGGACAATATCTTATAAATATGAAAAGCAATTTTAAAGTAAAACTTAATCTGGAGCAAAAGAAAAAAATGTTCACACCAAATGCTGATATTGACACGTTTGATATTACTATCATGTATTTAATCATTCGTAACTGCTGTAGCATCCCCGATTCGTTTTGGGAGGACCCACAAAAACTGTCCAATGTGGTGGAAATCCATCGCTACAGGAACACCCTCGCGCATTATCCCAACTGTAGAGTGTCAAATAAAGACTTTGAAATCCAATGGACGAAAGTCAGATCAATGCTGCACAATGCAGGTGCTCCTTTCCAAGACATCGACAAATATAGAGCGCTTAAATTTATAAACTAGAAGACAGATTAGCCACAAAGTACACATGAAACAATGGCTGGGTCTCGGTAGAGATCCTTTTTCAATAGCAACAGCTAAAATGTAAACGTAATTGTAAAAAGCCAGAAATGGAACCAGAGTTCTTGGACTCAAACACTACGAACATCACTGATTTGTGTAGTCTATTTCGTGAATACTTACCTGGATAAACCGAATAATTGCCAGTGTAGCATCGAAAAGTCTGATAAAGGCGTGATCAAAGGAAAACCAACGTGGAAAACATACTTACCTAAAAGTGTTGATTTCGAAACTGTCGAAGCCACTGGTGCCTGGGACCCCAACACAACACATCTCGCAAATAGTACGACAAGAAGGTAATTTGCGAACGCCACCATGCCGCCAAGCAAATATAATACAAGCATGTCTTCCATAAGAAAGATTAAATCTCTTCTAGCAACTCGATTTAACAATGGTATATGCGGCTGAACATATGACAGAAGTCACAAACTGATGAGACATCATGATGAAGTGACTTGGGACGATTAATGTACTGTACATCAAGGTGCTGACAGGGAACCATCTTATCCTCTCGTCCCCCTCCCCCCGCCCCAGAATAGAAGGACTATAATAAGGATGGGGCGAATTCGAGCAGTGTTTGCGCTTTCGAGAGAAAACACGCTCTAACTATACGCCGCCTTGCTCAAAAAGAATGTGGCCTGGCCTCAGGCTCAAAGCATGAAATCTCACCCCGTCGTTAACAGGAGGCAACTGCCACCCAAGAAGGCCTTAAATGGTAAAAGACGCAGAGCTCAGAGGCTTCAATGGTGGTCGAGTGAGATACTCAAGGACGTCGTCCCAACGCTAACACTATGTGAATTGAAATATAGTGCGCACCTGCAGACATGTCTCATACAGATAGTGTAGCAACCACTTCCCTGACACCTGTTCTGTGGTGGAGCAACCACCCCAACCGGACAGGGAGGCGTCCACTGATATGAAAATATCCGGAGTTGAACCCAGAAAGCTTTTTTTCCTTTTTAACACGTTCTCCCTGAGCCACCATCTTAAGTGTTTTTATAAATGAATTCATGGGAATGGCCTTTGAAAGATCCCAGGACGTAGGGGAAAAGAACACGAGCAGATGCAACTGCAGCGGGCTTATTCAAAGACGGCAGTCCAAGAAACCTGTTAGAAATATATATACTGTCTCTTATACACATCTAGATGTGTATAAGAGACAAAAGAACGAAACATAAGAAAGAAAAGGAAAGGATATTCAAGGACCCCTATGATAGGGTAAAAGAAAAAATAGAAAGAAAGAATGAAAGAAAAGAAAAGAAAGAACTAAAACGAGAAGAAAGAAAACGTAAGAAAAGAAAAGAAAAGTAAATATAAGGGAAAAAAGGAATGAAAAGAAACTTCATCACTTACCAAATTTTCAATTTTTGAACCAGGTTTTGCCGATCTCTTCTTATCTCTATTTATTACTGCTTCAGGGTATTTTGTAACAAGATTAACAGTGAAGCTCATTAGTTGTGAATAGTTCATAAGAAGACTAGCACAATTAAATCAAAAACCATGTTGTAACTTCTAAAATAAGTCATTGATTTTTAAAATTCAAAAGCATATCTATTATGATTTTCATCTGAAATTATAGCTAAGGTAATAAAGATGCCAAATTTCTTTGAACAACAGGTTTTTAAAATTTTCCAGCCTGGTTTTAAATACTATACTGGTAATTTATTGAGAAACAGCAATGCCTGCTGTGATAATGACTCTTAAATAGAGGCATTCTTCTTTGATGTTTAATTGGATTATTGAGATAAGATTTTGGCAAAACCTGGCTCACCAACCCGCCTGAATGCCCTTTTAAAGGGTTTGCTGGTAAATGGGATAGTAACAGCATTGAACGAATCATAAGAAAGAAAATGAAAGGATACTCAAGGACACCTATGAAAAGGTATAAGAATGAAATGGAAAAAAATGAGAAGAAGGAATTATAAGAAAGGAAATAATTGTTTGGAAGGAAGGATAAAGAAAGAAACATAAGAACAGAAAATATAAGAAAGAAAAAGGAAAGAAAAGAATGAAGCATAAGAAAGAAAAGGAAAGGATATTTTAGAACACCAACGAAAGGTGTGAGAAAAAATAGAATGAAAGAAAAGTTAAGAAAGAACTAAGATCAAAAGAAAGAAAATGAAAGAAAAGAAAAGTAAATATAAGAAAGAAAAAGGAATGAAAAGAACGAATTATAAGAAAGAAAAAGAAAGGTTATTCAAAGCAACCTAAGAAATGGTAAAAAGAAAGAAAAGGACAAGAAAGAATCAGGATATGAAAGAAACGATAAGATAACATAAAATGAGATATGTATGAATATAAGAAATGAAAAGGAAAGAAAAGAAATAAAGTAAATACAAGAAAAATCAAGGTTACATAGGAAAAAAAGAAAAAGAAGAAAGATAAGGAAATATTACAAAGGTAATTTAAGCTAAAGAAGCAATGCATAAGGAGGCATTAGAAAGAAAGGGGAAAGGAAAGAAAAAGTAATTAAAAGGAAAAGGGAGACTAAAGAAAGAAAAGGTAGGTAAATAGGAATCACGGAAAGTTAAAGAAGCATAGAATGAAAGTAAAAGAGAAGATAAGTAGGTAATTAGACGGTTAGCTAATACTAAAATAGAAAACAACAAGGAACATGAAAGTGAAATATAAGGTCTGCTAACACATTTTTCCCCTCTAGGGACCTTCTTTTGTTTTGCACTGTTGAAGCTTGTGGTAGTCAATGACAGCCACTTGTTCTGTTGATTCAGAACGGTTAAGAACTTTATTATTTATTATATATATATATATATATATATATTTATATATATATATATGTGTGTATGTAAATATGTATATGTATATATGTATATATATGTGTGTGTGTATATATATGTGTGTATATATGTATATGTATATATATATGTATACGTATATGTATATTATATATATATATATGTATATGTATATATATGTAAATATATGTGAATATATATTATATGTATTTCTATATATAGGCCTATGTATGTATATATATGTATATATATATACTAGATGTGTATAAGAGACAGTATATATATATAGGCCTATAAATCTTTATCTTCTTATGAGCAATTTATAAGACAGTGTCTCGGGTCTCTGTAGAGATATTTTTTTTAATGTAAATAAATCATGATATAATAAAGATAAACTCTAACCATCTTGTGGTAATGCTATAATTTTAAATACGAACGTTAAAGAAATACATCAGATGCATAGCGGAGAAGAAATTTACGATGAAAGTTACTAACTGTAAGTGCTCGAATAAGCACCCTTCTCGAATAAGCCCCTCACCGCGGCGCTTAATCGAGAGTATATTATTACCCTGTGTGTAATGAAACAAAGGGATTTAATACAATGTAGGCCTATACAATGAAGATACAAGCATTTCTTTATATACGTTTATTTAGGATGGCGAAGGACCTATGTTAGGCCTACCTACGAGAATGTAACACGGGAACGGGCATGGAAAGCGCCAGTAGGCCTTCGCCAATATTATTTTCTAAGCGCCGCGGCGCTAATTCGAGCGTTTAAGATACATAAACAAGTTTTTAGAAAAAAAAAAAAAAAGGGAAAAAAAGTCAAAATTTGGTCCATGGAAGGCTTACTATCGTGTGGAGAAACTGCCACCTGTCGGTGTGTTGTGATTGGAAAATCCAGAACTATTTGAGAAAACGCACGGTAACTAACATAGCTAGCTTAATGAGAAACTTACGCTTGATAAACTGATATCAATCTCATCAATTATAGGTACAAGGTATACAATTAGCAGTAGCTTAACTAGGTTGTGAGGGGCCCTGGTTCAAAAGTACAGTCGGGGCCCTTGACGCATGCAAATTGACTTGTCGTGTAAGCTAAGATGTGTACCACCGATGGGTTAGATTAAAAGCAGTACCATTTTTTTAAATATTATTTCGACAATAAATCTTGCGATTTTTTAAATTTTTGATATTTAGATGTTCTCGGAGGGCTGGACTGATATAGTAATAATAATAAGCATTTCTCTTCTTATGTGACCAAAAGAAAAAGCGCATTCGATATTTATTGAATTGGTGTTTTTTTATTTATCGGATTGACTTTTGAACAATGTCAACAATTTTCTTGTATATAATCTTTGATATAAATAAAGTACACGCAGTATGTTTTGTTTCTAGATATCATCTCAGGCAATTACCCGCTCCCTTATGCGAAATCCTTGATGGTAATACAAAAATTGAACGTACACAAACCCTAAGAAATTCAAACAAAATGTATGTAGGGGCCTACCTTTTTCAAGACTGACATCCTGTCACAGATCTATTTTTATTCACGGACCAAATATCTGGAATGAGCTATATGATAGCCTTTTAAAAATAAATTCGCAAAATTCGATCAAAATAAATTGAAAGAGATGATTTTAAATACTTATTAAGGAAAACTTCTTGGGAGTCGCTGGCACTTTCCGGGGCAATACACTGTCGGAGATGTCTTGGTGTCTGAGGCGCACGGTATTATTACTATGACGTGATGATCACTGAGGCATTTCCCCTTCCAGGAAATGCTGGTAATTGAGGGCGATCCCAAATTTTTTTAAATTAAAATGTTGATGTGTTTACTATGTATTCTGTGTGTGTATGTTTTATATGTTTGGTATTCAAACTGACAAGCCACCTCTTCTTTTGATGCCTATGTAAAGAATTTGCAATTTGTTGTGGAATTTTTCTGAATAAATGTATATATATGGTGATACAATAAAAAAGAAGTTTCAAGTATATTAGTTGTATATACTTAAACTAAATGAAATAAAACGGATCACACCTGACATTATTAGATTATATGTATGACCGTGATCATGCGAAACACTTATCCGATAAATATGACAGCCGAACGCCTCTTAAAATGGTCCATTTAAAAGTATAGGCCTATGCTAATGCTAAATAAAATAATAAAAAGTACATTATTAAATGAACATTTTCTTTATTCCAGACTTCAAATAATTTCTTTAAATCCCACAAAAACCAGTAAAAAATTATCACTAAAACTCGATGATGAAATACATTAATTGTTGCACATGTTTTGGGGTTTTCCTTCTTTTTTGTTTTTTGTTTATTTATTGTTTTCAATCTTTTCTCGGCTTATTTAAAAGCGAGAAAAAAATTAATAAAAATATGTATTTTTTCTTTGCGAGGTCTCTACGTATCAAATCCTAGGGCCTATACGATCTACAGGTCAATCTTGTGACTTTGCTTAAAGATGTTGCATATAGGAGCAATATCACTCCTATGGGAGTGATATTGCCCGTACAGGCCTAAAAACTACATGCCCTCGTTATTTTTACAGCAGACCGAAGACATCCCCTAGCTGACATGGTCGCCTGGAGAGGGTTGGAAGGGGGAAGGTATTTAGCAAGGTCAGTGTAAACAAAGCCTCGGGTCCAGACAATATAGCCAACAAAGTTCTTAAATATTGTTGTAATGAACTAGCTCGCATATTTAGTAAAATTTTTCAGTTGTCTGTTAATGAAGGAGTTATCCCAAAGTTGGAAGACTGCTCATATCACACCAGTTCCTAAGGGAAAAACAGTTTTGTCACTTAATGACTACCGCCCGGTGGCATTAACTAGTACAGTGATGAAGTGTCTGGAAAAAATAATTCTAAAACACCTGTTATCTGATAAAGGAGTGATTCCCGACCCTACCCAATTTGCATATCGAAGAAAACGGGGAGTGGAGGATGCGGTATTATGTTACTTACATGGTATTGTTGACCACCTTGAGAAACCAAAATCAGTTGTGAGGTCATTATTTATAGATTTTAGCAGTGCGTTTAACACAATTCAACCACATATCATGGTTAATAAAATGATGGAAATGAATATTAATCCTAAACTTATTTTATGGGTTCATAGTTTTCTCTGGAATAGAGAGCAAGTGACTTAAGTTAATAACATTAAATCACGTACACGTATAATTAATACAGGTGCTCCCCAAGGGTGCGTGCTGTCCCCGGTTCTATTTACTTTGTATGCAAGCAACTGCAAAAGCTCGTCCCCCAGTGTGAGTATAATTAAATATGCTGACGATACTGTCATCTGTGGTTTCGTAAAAGGAAATAATGCCT